TGCTGGTACCACTGTTTGCATTCCCTTCTGCTGCCAGTGGGCCTCTCTTCTGCTCCCACTGCTGCTGCCACCGCTGGTCCCACTGCGGCCCTCTCTTCTGCTCGCTGTCCCTTCACATCACAGCACCAGCAGCAGCACGCAGAGAACTCGCAGCTTGTTGGTGACGATTTCACAGCCGTTCCTGTGTGCCTTCTCCGCGCCGTGCCTTCTCTCCTCCATGCCTTCTCTCCTCCATGCCTTCTCTCCTCCATGCCTTCTCTCCTCCATGCGGCCAGCAGCGTTGGGGAGAATTGCATCTGCGCGGTTCTCTGTTCCCCTGCTCCTTTGGCCTTCTCCCATTCTCTCCTCCGTGCCCACTGCTCCATGTCTCTCCAACGCTCCATCTCCTTTGCCTCTCCTTCCTCTCCTCTGCTGCACAGGACTGATGAGCGCATAGCCCCGTTTGCACCCTGTCTACTCTGCTCCTCTAGAGTAGCACACGGGAGGGAGGCAGCATCATTTTCTCCCACTGCTGCTCCTCTGCTCCTCTGCAGTAGCACACGGGAAGGGTGGCCTTCTCTTCTGCTGACTCTGCTGCTGCCACTGCTGGTACCACTGCTTGCATTCCCTTCTGCTGCCACTGCTGCTGAAACCAGTATTGTCACTGCGGGCCTCTCTTCTGCTCCCACTGCTGCTGCCACAGCTGGTCCCACTGCAGGCCTCTCTTCTGCTCGCTGTACCTTCACTTCACAGCACCAGCAGCAGCACGCGGAGGGAGGAAGGAGCGAGGAAGGTAGCAGTTGTCGTCCCGTCACTCCATCAGCAGCAGCAGCAGCAGCAGCACAGGCGAGAGCGGCGGGAACACAAGGCAGAAGCAGGTGGTAACAGCTCGATCTTGCTCGTGTCAATACTGCCGACTTCGCTCCTCCAAGCGGCCAGCAGCAGTGGGGGCCACTGCAATGCTGCTGCGCTTCATCCCCTTCACAGCTCCCCTTCACAGCTCCCCTTCACAGCTCCCCTTCACAGCTCCCCTTCACAGCTCCCCTTCACAGCTCCCCTTCACAGCTCCCCTTCACAGCTCCTCTTCACAGCTCCCCTTCACAGCTCCCCTTTACAGCTCCCCTTCACAGCTCCCCTTCACAGCTCCCCTTTACAGCTCCCCTTCACAGCTCCCCTTCACAGCTGCTCCTTCCCCTTCACAGCAGCTTCATCCCCTTCACAGCTCCTTGGTAGCTAAAGGTAGGTACAGCTCGCTGGCCCGCTCATGGCAGTCAACCCCTTTGCTCTGCTCGCCTGTAGCACCCGTCTCCTCTGCTCGCCTCTACCACCCGTCTCCTCTGCTCGCCCCTACCACCCGTCTCCTCTGCTCGCCTCTACCACCCGTCTCCTCTGCTCGCCGCTGTCTCCTCTGCCCACCTGTAGCAGCCATCTCCCCTGCTCGCCAGTAGCACCCATCTGCATCTCCACTGCTGATCCGTCTCGTCTGCTGCTCCCTCGCCTCTGCGTCCTTCTGTGAAATGGGAGGAGAATGATTCGGGGACGATGAGTTTAAGGCCCCGATTGCAGGCAGTGCCAAGAGAGAACTCAAAGCAGAAGCAAGGGAAAAACTTGGCAACGACATGCATTCGACATCAAGTCAGAGCAGAACCAAGGCAACGACAAACAAAACAACAAAAGCAAGAAAGAGAATCACCGTCGGCAGTGAATAGTTATCCACCACCGTGCTCCTTGGCTCTTCAACTCGTTTGCTCCTCCGCTCCTTTGCTCTTTGCTCTTCAATGCAGCACCACTCCCCCTCCACTGCAGCACCACTCCCCCTCCACTGCAGCATCACTCCCCCTCCACTGCAGCACCACTCCCCCTCCAGTGCAGCACCACTCCCCCTCCAGTGCAGCACCACTCCACCACTTAACTGCACCAGCAGCAGCACATGCAAGGGAGGTAGGAGCGAGGCAGCACAAGGCAGCTAAAGGTAGGTACAGCTTGCACCTTGCTGCAGCAAACCCTGGCCCCTTCCCTGCTCCTCTGCTCTATTCACCTGCTCATCACCTCTCCTGCAGTGGCCTCCTCTCCCAGCAGCTGCCAGTCGTCCCCTCTGCTCCTCTCCCAGCCCATTCTCACTGGCAGTGGCAATGGCCGGGAAACCTCCTTCGCCTCCGCTGCTCCGCTCCCAGCAGGTGCCAGTCGTCCCCTCTGCTCCTCTAGAGTAGCACACGGGAGAGAGGCAGCATCATTTTCTCCCAGTGCTGCTCCTCTGCTCCTCTACAGTAGCACACAGGAAGGGTGGCCTTCTCTTGTGCTGACTCTGCTGCTGCCATTGCTGGTACCATTGTTTGCGTTCCCTTCTGCTACCACAGCTGGTACCACTGCTTGCATTCCCTTCTGCTGCCACTGCTGGTACCACTGCTTGCATTCCCTTCTGCTGCCACTGCTGGTACCACTGCTTGCATTCCCTTCTGCTGCCACTGCTGGTACCACTGCTTGCATTCCCTTCTGCTGCCACTGCTGGTACCACTGCTTGCATTCCCTTCTGCTGCCACTGCTGGTACCACTGCTTGCATTCCCTTCTGCTGTCACAGCTGGTACCACTGCTTGCATTCCCTTCTGCTGTCACTGCGGGCCTGCTGCTGCCACCGCTGGTCCCACTGCGGGCCTCTCTTCTGCTCGCTGTCCCATCACTTCACAGCACCAGCAGCAGCACGCGGGAGGGAGGTAGGAGCAAGGAAGGTAGCAGCACCATCACTTCCCCTCCTCTGATGCGTCTCCTCCTCCTCTGACGCATCTCCTCTACTCCATATCCTGCGGAATGAGAAGAGAAAGTCTATGAGCGCATTGCACCAAATGCACCCTATAGTTGCACACAAGCAAGTGAGAACAAGAGCATAGCGAATAGGGCAACGGCGCCATCAATCGAGAGCAGGAAAGCAGATCCTCACCGGCAGTGGCAGGGGATTCTCCTTCGCTTCCTCCTTTGCTCCTTCGATCATTCGCACACCTCCTACCCTCAGGTGCTCCTCCTCTGATGCATCTCCTCTGCTCCTCCTCCTCTGATGCATCTCCTCTGCTCCTCCTCCTCCTCTTATGCGTCTCCTCTTCTGCATCTCCTGCGAAATAGGAAAAGAAAGTCTGTGAGCTCATTGCGCCAATTGCACCAGTGGTTACACACAGTGCCAACGACTGATTTAGAACAAACATGTAGCGAATAAGGCAACGACAATTGATCAAGAGCAGGAAAGGAGATCCTCACCGGCAGTGGCAGAGGATCCTCCTCTGCTCCTCCTCTGCTCCTTGGCTCTTCAGCTTCTGATGCATCTCCTCTTCTCCTCTCCCCCGCTGCTCCTCTCCTCTGCTGCGCCTCCGCTGTTCCTTTGTTGCTCCGCCCCCTCCGATGCATCTCCTGCGGAATGCAAAGGAGGAAAAAGCCTATGAGCACACAATGATTGCACCCAGTGCCAAGAAGCGATTCGAAATTAAGGCAACGACCAAAGGATGACAAGCGAACAAGGCAACGGCCAAAGGATGAAGAGATCAAAGCAGGAAAGAAGATGCTCACCGGCAGTAGCAATGACGGGGAATCCTCGTTCGCCTCTGCTGCTCCTCGCCGTCCCATCACTTCACAGCACCAGCAGCAGCACGCAGGAGGGAGGTAGGAGCAAGGAAGGTAGCAGCTGCCGTCCCATCACTTCACAGCACCAGCAGCAGCACGCGGGAGGGAGGTAGGAGCGAGGGAGGTAGCAGCTGCCATCCCATCACTTCACAGCACCAGCAGCAGCACACGGGAGGCAGTAACAGCTCCGCTCCATGCCACAGCAGCAGTGCCTGTGTGCCTTCTCCCCTCCATGCCACTGGCAGTGGCAATCGCAAGGAAGAAAACCGTCTTGAGCAACCAACAAGTGCATCCAGAGCCAAAAACTGATACAAATCAACGACCAAAGGCGAAAGACCAGTGCATCCAGAGCCAAGCGAACAAAGCAACGACCATCCATGCAAAGGCGAAAGGAATGTAGAGCAGGAAAGCAGAATGCTCACTGATAGTGGCAATAGCAGGGAATCATTCCTCCTGCCGCATCCGTCTCCTCCGCTGCTCCTCTCCCCCGCTACTCCTCTCCTCCGCTGCTCCTCTCCCCTGCTGTCTTGAAGTCTTGGGGCTGTCTGAAAGGGGAGGGAGGCAACAAACCACGACATTAGTGCATGTGGAAAACAGGAAAGCAGAAATGGACGAGCACGTACCGAGGGGAATGAAGGCGTGTTGAAGTCTTGGGGCTGTCTGAAAGGGGAGGGAGGCAACAAACCACGACATTAGTGCATGTGGAAAACAGGAAAGCAGAAATGGACGAGCACGTACCGAGGGGAATGAAGGCGTGTTGAAGTCTTGGGGCTGTCTGAAAGGGGAGGGAGGCAACAAACCACGACATTAGTGCATGTGGAAAACAGGAAAGCAGAAATGGACGAGCACGTACCGAGGGGAATGAAGGCGTGTTGAAGTCTTGGGGCTGTCTGAAAGGGGAGGGAGGCAACAAACCACGACATTAGTGCATGTGGAAAACAGGAAAGCAGAAATGGACGAGCACGTACCGAGGGGAATGAAGGCGTGTTGAAGTCTTGGGGCTGTCTGAAAGGGGAGGGAGGCAACAAACCACGACATTAGTGCATGTGGAAAACAGGAAAGCAGAAATGGAAGATAGCTTACCGAGGGGGCAGAAGCGCTCTTGATGTCTTGGTGACGGCTAACACACAAAACACAACATTACGAGTTAGACAAAACAAGAAAGAAAAAGCAGACTGCAGCTTACAGCGGGTCCTAGCTGCTGCATCCCCGTGTTGCTCTGCCCGCGGTGTTGCCTCCCGTCCTTGCTGTACCTAGAAGAGGGTGGACACAAAAGTTATCCTTTGCCCCCCAGCGGGGCAAAGTAGGCACCTCAGTTGAAGTTGCTCCTTCCAGCTGCTTCCCCACCAGCTGTTGCTTCGCCCTAAGTGTTGCCCCGGTTCTTGCTGCACCTAGGAGAGGGAAAACACAAAAATTATCCTTCTCCTTGAAGGCGCCGCTCCACCTCTCGTTGCTCCTCTTGTGTTGATCCTTTGCCCCCCAGGGGGTCAAAGCGCCTCACTTGAAGGCGCCGCTCCACCTCTCGCAGCTCCTCGTGTGTTGATCCTTTGCCCCCCAGGGGGTCAAAGCGCCTCACTTGAAGGCGCCGCTCCACCTCCCGCTGCTCCTCGTGTGTTGATCCTTTGCCCCCCAGGGGGTCAAAGCGCCTCACTTGAAGGCGCCGCTCCACCTCCCGCTGCTCCTCTTGTGTTGATCCTTTGCCCCCCAGGGGGTCAAAGCGCCTCACTTGAAGGCGCCGCTCCACCTCTTGCTGCTCCTCGTGTGTTGATCCTTTGCCCCCCAGGGGGTCAAAGCGCCTCACTTGAAGGCGCCGCTCCACCTCCCGCTGCTCCTCTTGTGTTGATCCTTTGCCCCCCAGGGGGTCAAAGCACCTCACTTGAAGGCGCCGCTCCACCTCTCGTTGCTCCTCGTGTGTTGATCCTTTGCCCCCCAGGGGGTCAAAGCGCCTCACTTGAAGTCGCCGCTCCACCTCTTGCTGCTCCTCTTGTGTTGATCCTTTGCCCCCCAGGGGGTCAAAGCGCCTCACTTGAAGGCGCCGCTCCACCTCTTGCTGCTCCTCGTGTGTTGATCCTTTGCCCCCCAGGGGGTCAAAGCGCCTCACTTGAAGGCGCCGCTCCACCTCCCGCTGCTCCTCTTGTGTTGATCCTTTGCCCCCCAGGGGGTCAAAGCACCTCACTTGAAGGCGCCGCTCCACCTCTCGCTGCTCCTCGTGTGTTGATCCTTTGCCCCCCAGGGGGTCAAAGCGCCTCACTTGAAGGCGCCGCTCCACCTCCCGCTGCTCCTCGTGTGTTGATCCTTTGCCCCCCAGGGGGTCAAAGCGCCTCACTTGAAGGCGTCGCTCCACCTCTCGCTGCTCCTCTTGTGTTGATCCTTTGCCCCCCAGGGGGTCAAAGCGCCTCACTTGAAGGCGCCGCTCCACCTCTCGCTGCTCCACTTGTGTTGGATCCTTTGCCCCCCAGGGGGTCAAAGCTCCTCACTTGAAGGCGCCGCTCCACCTCCCGCTGCTCCTCTTGTGTTGATCCTTTGCCCTCCTGGGGGTCAAAGCGCCTCACTTGAAGGCGCCGCTCCACCTCTCGCTGCTCCTCGTGTGTTGATCCTTTGCCCGCCAGGGGGTCAACGCGCCTCACTTGAAGTGCCCACCAGGAGAAAGTAAGAACAACAACCTCAGCCACAACAAGTGTGAGTTTTGAGGCGTTTTGCTCTCAAAACCCGCGTTTTGCTAACTGCAGCAAATCTGCAGTCAGGAACGAGGGGGCGTGAATTTTGAGACGCCTCTCAAAACTGACCATTTGAAGAGTTTTGAGCATCTGCTCCCACTGCTAGCCTTCGCTGCTAGCATCTGCTCACAATGCTGGTCCTCTCTTCTCGTCTGCTCCCATTGCTGGTCCTCTCTTCTCGTCTGCTCCCACTGCTAGCCATCCCTGCTAGCATCTTCGACCACTGCTGGTCCTCTCTTCTCGTCTGCTCCCACTGCTGGTCCTCTCTTCTCGTCTGCTTCCACTGCTGGTCTTCTCTTCTCGTCTGCTCCCACTGCTGGTCCTCTCTTCTCGTCTGCTTCCACTGCTGGTCTTCTCTTCTCGTCTGCTCCCACTGCTAGCCTTCCCTGCTAGCATCTGCTCACACTGCTTGTCTTCTCTTCTGCAGCCAGCCACTGCTGCTGCCAGCAGAAGTCTCATTGCGGACCCACCAGCCTGATCCTTCTAGCCATTAAGCAAGTAAGCATTGCCTCCGGATTCTTCGCCCCCACTCCTCCTTCCAGTACCGGTGTAAACAGCAGTTCTTTGCTCCAGAGGTTGAAGCACTTTTCCGATATAACCTTGTTAGCTGACATGAAGTTTTGTGTCAACTTTGTGATGACCTTCCAGGTCTGCGCAGGCGGCTTCTCCCACCGCTGCTGCCACCGCATGTCTCTCCTTCTCCCACCGCTGCTGCCACCGCTGGTGTCACTGCTGGGCTTCCCTTCTGGTGCCAGCCACTGCTGCTGCCAGCTGTACTGTCATAGCGGGCCTCTCTCCTTCTCCCACCGCTGCTGCCACCGCATGTGTCACTGCTGGTCTTCTCTTCTGCTGCCAGCCACTGCTGCTGTCAGCTGTAGTGTCATTGCGGACCTCTCTCCTTCTCCCACCGCTGCTGCCACCGCATGTGTCACTGCTGGTCTTCTCTTCTGCTGCCAGCCACTGCTGCTGCCAGCTGAACTGTCATAGCGGGCCTCTCCCCTGCTCCCACTGTCGTTGCCACCGCTGGTGTCACTACTCGCATCCCCTTCTGTCGCCACTGCTACTGCCACTGGGTAATGTCATGCGGGCCTCTCTCCTGCTCCCAGAATTGTGGGCCTCTCTCCTGCTCCCACTGCCGCTGCCACCGCTGGTATCTCTGCTGGCCAACGCAGCATCAGAGCTGCTTGTTGTTGTGCCATCACTCCACATCAGCACCAGCAGCAGCACGCAGGCTGCTGGTGTCCATTTCGTGTCCCCTCCGTGCCTTCCCTGCTGCAGCTCAGGGCATTCCAGCCGTCTCCTTCCTCTTGGGATCCCTTCCAGCCGTCTCCTCAGCTCCCCTGCTCCACTGCTGCAGCTCACAAGATTGACTGGCGTTAACTGACTTTGACTGGCGTTGACTGGCTTTGACTGGCATTGATTGGCCTCCCAACACCCAGCAGCAGCGCCAGAAAGTGTAGGGCATTCTTCTCGTGTTGCCACTTCTTCTGCCCCTGCCGCTGCCGCTCAGACTACTGCTTCCGCCACTGCCGCTCTCCTCCTGCTGCCACTGCTGCCGCTGTCAATGCTGCTCCTGTTGCTGCTGCTCCTCCCACCCCAGACTAACGCCCTGCACAGTGCCAGAGAGTCGCAATCGCACAAGGAAGATCAGTCAGTGAGTCGACAGAGCAGATTGACAGAGTGAAGAATATCGAATGCAAGGAGGAAAAAGGACAGCGGAAAAGCGATGAAGAACACGAAAGCAATTGAAACTACTAAGGCAGAAGAAAACTCGACTGAGGAGAGAGAAGGGAGAGGTGGGAACACGGGGGTGTTCTGCCATGGCGCCAATTACTTACTAGCTTATCCAGTCGCTGCTGCTCCAGCTGCCCACAACGCAGCAGGTGCTATCCAGTCGCTCCTGCCCCATCTTCCTAACTACTAAGGCTTTCACTCCTCCATAGACCAGCAGCAGCGCCAGGAAAGCGTAGAGGAGATGGGAGGTTGCCCCTTGTTCAAGAAGACGCTGCCGCTGCCATTAGCAGCATAGCAACGCTGCCGCTGCCACTGGCGCTCCTGCCTTTGCCATTGCTGCTGCGACTGAAGCTGTTGCATTTGCCGCTGCTGCTGCCACTGCCTTTCTCCTCCTGCTGTCGCTGCTACCGCTGCCCATGTTGCTCCATCTGCCCAGCCGCAACGTTCCCTGCACAGCGAACAGAGAGTTGCAATCCCACAGAGATGGTTAGCTGCAGCGTAGAGGTTACAAGTTGGCAGAGAGATTTGACAGAGAGGGAACAACAACGAATGCAGAGAAAGCAAGTTGCAATCCCACAAAGAAGGCCACAAAGTCGACAGCGAACAAACGTCACGGCTCCTGTTGCTTACTTGTTGTCCAGTCGCTGCAGCTGCAGGTGCTGCTCCTGTCGCTGTTGCTCCATCTTCCCACCCATGTGTTTACGTTCCCTGCACAGCGAACAGAGAGTTGCAATCCCACAGAGATGGTTAGTTGCAGCGTAGAGGTTACAAGTTGGCAGAGAGATTTGACAGAGAGGGAACAACAACGAATGCAGAGAAAGCAAGTTGCAATCCCACAAAGAAGGCCACAAAGTCGACAGCGAACAAACATCACGGCTCCTGTTGCTTACTTGTTGTCCAGTCGCTGCAGCTGCAGGTGCTGCTCCTGTCGCTGTTGCTCCATCTTCCCACCCATGTGTTTACGTTCCCTGCACAGCGACCAGAGAGTTGCAATCCCACAAGTAGAGTTCATGAGTAGAGCATGAATTGACAGAGAGAAGAATAAAGAATGCAAGGAGAAAAAAACGAGAGTGGAAAAACGACAACGAACACGCGAGCCATAAAGACAAAGAAAGGAGCAGTTGAGGTTGAGGTTACTTACTTGTTTCTCCAGTTGAGGTTTCTCCAGTTGCTCCTGCACCAGTTGCCTCCAACGCAGCAGCACTACCCCACCTCGCCATCCGCGGCCTCAGCTGCCCCAGCCACCCCTTGTCACCCCTGCACAAGGCACAGAGCGTTGCAACCCCTACTATAGAGAAGGTCAGCTGGGTAGAGCGTACAGGCACAGCTGCGAAATGATCAAGAGAAACAACATGCTAAGCAAAACAGCCAAGACAACAGGAAATGGCAACCTTCAAAAACGAGGTGATGCGAATCAGGAGGAAGGAACGGGGGTGTTCTGTCAGGGCTCAACTTACTTGCTGCTCCAGTCGTGGCCGCTCCTGTTGCTGCTGCTGCTCCAGTCGCTGCTGCTGCAGTCGCTGCTGCTGATGGACCAACGCCATGACGCCATGGACTGCCATGACGCCATGGACTGCCATGGACTGCTGATGCTCCAGTCGCTGCTGCTCCAGTCGCTGCTGCTGATGGACCATCACCATGACGCCATGGACTGCCATGACGCCATGGACTGCCATGACGCCATGGACTGCCATGACGCCATGGACTGCCATGACGCCATGGACTGCCATGACGCCATGGACTGCCATGACGCCATGGACTGCCATGACGCCATGGACTGCCATGACGCCATGGACTGCCATGACGCCATGGACTGCCATGACGCCATGGACTGCCATGACGCCATGGACTGCCATGACGCCATGGACTGCCATGACGCCATGGACTGCCATGACGCCATGGACTGCCATAGCGCCACGGACTGCCATAGCGCCATGGACGGCCATGGACTGCTGCTGCTCCAGTCGCTGCTGCTGATGGACCAATGCCATGACGCCATGGACTGCCATGACGCCATGGACTGCCATGACGCCATGGACTGCCATGACGCCATGGACTGCCATGACGCCATGGACTGCCATGACGCCATGGACTGCCATGACGCCATGGACTGCCATGACGCCATGGACTGCCATGACGCCATGGACTGCCATGACGCCATGGACTGCCATGACGCCATGGACTGCCATGACGCCATGGACTGCCATGACGCCATGGACTGCCATGACGCCATGGACTGCCATGACGCCATGGACTGCCATGACGCCATGGACTGCCATGACGCCATGGACTGCCATGACGCCATGGACTGCCATGACGCCATGGACTGCCATGACGCCATGGACTGCCATGACGCCATGGACTGCCATAGCGCCATGGACTGCCATGACGCCATGGACTGCCATAGCGCCATGGACTGCCATGACGCCATGGACTGCCATGACGCCATGGACTGCCATGACGCCATGGACTGCCATGACGCCATGGACTGCCATGACGCCATGGACTGCCATAGCGCCATGGACTGCCATAGCGCCATGGACTGCCATAGCGCCATGGACTGCCATGGACTGCTGATGCTCCAGCCGCTGCGGCTCCAGTCGCTGCTGCTGATGGACCAATGCCATGACGCCATGGACCAACGCCATGGCGCCATGGACCAACGCCATGAGACAAGCTCATATCGCCACCACTCCTGCACAGACAGTTTAATGCGCAGCGAGTGAGATACGCCATCGTGAATGAATGTGCAGAAACCGAAATTTGCGGAAACGGAAATGAGCAGTTTGAATGGAAACTAAACACGATCACCGAGAGAATAATAGCAACTGTTATAGAAATTGAATGATACGAGCAAAAAAAACCGTCATGAAACGAGAGTTTCAATAAAACTCACCACAGCTCGTCTCCGTAGTAGTAGCGGGTCGTGAGCAGGGACATGTTGCGGGTCACATGTTGCGTAGGAACGTCGTGAGCAGGGACATTCGCGACTTCGTACGGATGTCGCGAGCTTCGTACGGAGGTCGCGAGCTTCGTACGGATGTCGCGAGCTTCGTACGGATGACGCGAGCTTCGTACGGGCGTCGCGAGCTCGCGTCGCAAGCTGCTCCTCCGTCATCGAACGCTCCCGCACCACCGCACCCATCGGACGCTTCGCGCTGCTTCCGAAGTCACGCGATCACTTTCAAATCCGTCACTTGTTCTCCGAGATCCTTCGTCGCGTTATGTCTTCGTCAGCGTCACGTATTCGTCGGCGTCATGTCTCCGTCAGCGTCGCCCGTCAGATCCTCTCCGCCGCAACGCTCCGCGCTCCTTCGTCAGTGTCGGGTGCATTCGTTAGCTTCGCGAGCAGGCTGCGAGTAATACCGTCGACGGTTTCAGGAGCTTTTCGTCGCGAAGCGGTTTCAGGAATCTCGAAGCGAAGCGAAGCGGTTTCAGGAATCTCGAAGCGAAGCGAAGCGGTTTCAGGAATCTCGAAGCGAAGCGAAGCGGTTTCAGGAATCTCGAAGCGAAGCGAAGCGGTTTCAGGAATCTCGAAGCGAAGCGAAGCGGTTTCAGGAATCTCGAAGCGAAGCGAAGAGGTATCAGGAATCTCGAAGCGAAGCGAAGCGGTCTCCTCGGCAGTGACAACTTAATCGTGATGCCGAGAGAACAAGCTGTCAAGCTGTAAAGTCGCACAAGCCGTCATGGCAAGGATTCGTGACGTTCAGGAACGTTTGTCGCATCATGCCGCGTCTAGTCGCATCATCGTGTGCGCAACTATCTGACGCCGCTTCACGTTCATAAGCTTGTCGCGGCTTCACAAAGTTCAGAGCTTTCGTCTCGCGAGCGTGAGAATATCAGAAGAACTTGGATCTCGCGACTCGAGATATCGCGAGGAAGGCTCGAATAATCTGTTGTAATACGGAGACGAGAATCTCTTTAGAACTTGGATCTGGCGTAACGAACAAACTGAATCACGCTTGACGCGACAAAAATAGGAATTCACCATTCTGCACCTGACGGTCATCCAGTTGCAACTCATTGTGAGACTAAGCTTTCTTACTAGACTCCGAAACTTCATACTACTATCATAATGGTTAACCTAAGGAGTTACGCGCTTCGGTAAGAGTCCACGCCACGAAAATGACCTCCACGGTACAGCTAACCGAGTAAGCCATGGATTCCCGTCAATCGAGTTACCTAATCACGGAACATGTCTCTGAGACACAGCATGGCGAAAGCCTGGGAGGGATTCAGTGGAGGTGGACCGAGCAACAAGGTTTGGGACAGGGAGGTCCGGTACGGTGAGGAGCGTTTCAGCAAGGTGAAAAAGGTGAGATCAGGTGGAGCTAGGTGAGATTCGATGAGGCTGTGGGTGGTGAGAGAAAGGGGGAAGGGAACCAGCTGAGCGGCAAGGAGCGGGAAGTCGAGTCGCCCCGTGAAGTGCCCTCCCGTCCGCCCAAGCCGAAGGGGGGGTGGGGGGGGGGGGGGGGGGGGGGGGGGTTCCCCTCATTTCGGTAAGCCCGATGCGCAAGGCGCTGCAAAGTTCGCTGACTGAGTTGCGCGGGTAAATCCGCTGACGGTCTGTGCCGAAGGCGAGCAATTGAGGGCGTGTCCCAAAAGTTTGTAAGCAGTTTCGGGACCCGGTTTTACGTAAAACAGCACGTACACCTGCGCGGTTCACACACGTTCCAGGTACGTACACATCACTGCGAACAGTGTCCAAATTCCAAAAAGCTGACAGAGCCTCGAGGTTCTACAGTGCCGTGACTTGTGCAGCCAAATCTCGGCCTGTTACCAGGTCCTCCTTGCCGCGAAAAAACCCCCCTCAAACAGATTCTCTGCCCTCTAGCCTTTCAACCAAATTGACTGTCGCAAAGGAATTTGCGACAGCAGGGCGAGTTCGCCCAAGGGAGATGCTTTGAACCTGGATCTCCTCGCTTCCTGTTCTCTCTGTTTCAGGTCTTCTTCTCTCGATATCTGTACAGTCCGCAGTCCAAGTTGAGCATCGCGTCAGTTATTTTTGTGCAGCCTAGTTCCGTGTCCAGACGAAAGATCTGGCGAGTGGCGAAAGGCAAAATTGTGGTTACTTTTTTCCTTTTGAAATGTAAATGTACTTTCAGGACACGCCCTGAATGTGGTGTGAGTCAGTCGTAGAACATAGGCAGATTTTCGCGGGCAAAACCGCCGTGTGCGAAATTATGCGTGAGAAATATATGTTACATGGGATGTCGGATGATCTGACGGCCGTCATCGGCATGATGTGGATGGTTAGCATGGTTTGTTACCACTAGAGCTTCGAGTTCTTGTGTGGATGACATGGCCCGAGCCGCGACGTATGTGTCAGACCAATCAGTTCAAATTTGAGCTGGTTGTTATGCCAAGCCAATCATTTGGGAGGGATATCCCCGCTTTGGATTTTTGGGTTGCGTAGCAACCTTACACATTGGGCCAACATCATAGACATGCAAATTAGTGTGGTAACCCTATCCAATGGTATGCAAAACCGTCTTACCTCTGTTTGCAAGTTATTGACATGCTGCCCTGAAAGCACGTTCGTTTTTAATTCAAATTTGATCTTTACCGCGCTTGCCTTCGCGCTAAGACGTGATTTCTTCGGGCCAAGAAAAAAATAAAACCCGATCGGAAAGGGATGCGTCAGGGAGGCATCAACCCTAAAAACAATGTCCTTTCCCGTGTTTAGGGTTGATCCCTCCCAGAAATGCGTCCAGGTCCCTAGGGGTTTTATTGTTTTTCTGCCCTGCCCCTACATTTCCCGGTAGCAATATATTGGTCCAAATTAATGTTATCGAAATGGACCCCGTAGCCTTTCATTCCAGTGGATTTTTCGTCACATTTAGCGGAAAATAGTAGCCGGCAGGAATATTTGTTAGACGCCAAACAAGACGCGGTAAGAACCACGACGATACGAAATCGAAAACGCAACTGATTCAATCCCATATTTTCTTCCTTTTCTGTGCTGCGTCAGCTGTTACACAGTGTTTTGAGTGGCGCTACCAGACAATTTTGCGCAGCAGAACTGGGGTATCGACGGTTTTGCATACCATCGAATAGGGTTACCAGACTAATTTGCATGTCTATGATGTTGGCCCTTATACATTTGGTTTCACTTTTTGGGGAGCTGACCGTGAACAGTGTTTTTTCCCTTTTTTGGAGAAAAAATCACTGTTCACAGATTTATTTAGTTCCCTAAAATGTGAAACCAAACGTGTCCAATCATCCATAATCGTCGATAAGTACGGCGAATGGAGTAATTGGACAATGGCCAAATGTGACCACTCACGAAGACAAAGGACCCTAATACCCTGAAACGTATACTAACAACACACACAAACTTGCACAAAACCAACATACGGTACCATAATAACAATCGTACTGCTTCAAGGTGAATGTTAAAATGCACCTATGATGCAACAGAGATTGATCTGGTACGGAAGGGGCGAGCAAAGCTACCCCACCGACAATCACAACCGCAGTTGCATACAAAGAGCAATTTAACACCACAACATGAAACAAACACTAATGTGCACATTTGAACAATGACAACAATATGAACAGTATGAACAATAAACAGTATTAATGCCTCAAAGTGCATGCTAAATGAATCGGTGTTGTAGCAAAGATTGATCCGGTACGGAAGAGGCGAGCAAAGCTGCCCCACCGACGATAACAACCTCAGCTGCAAGCACGAGTCACTTAACACCACACCTCGAAACAGACAGTACGGCAACTGACACAAAAAAACGCATACAGATAGAACGCACAAGATTACACATGCACACTTATCAAACACACAAACAGACACATCACATCACACACACAAAAGGAAACAGATAATGAACACGCAAACATGGCAAGTGGCAGTTAAGTTCAGCTATGTGCCACTAATTGCTAAACATGCCCCTCCTCCCTACCTCATCCCTCCCTCCTCTATCATCTCCCTTTTCCCCTCCTTGCAAATTACCCTACTTATGTCAGAATCACTAGGCAAGAATGGATGAACTAGCAGAAGATTGGGTACAAATATGAAACCCTAGTTGGGGTTGTACCCCATATTGGCTACCCCACTACAGCCTACCAACATATAACACATTACAATTTAACACACCCCCATAGGCAAAGTGGGGGAGAACAAAGGGTCACAAGACCAGTCCAGCAAAGCAACGCAAGCCCAGGGTGGATCACAACGTCACCACACTCCGAGCACAAGCAAAGGCCACAAGGCCAGTTCACATGCAGTGCTAGATATAGTACAAGACAAGCAACATAGTGATCAAAACCTAGCAAGCAAGCAACAAGATATATATAAAGTACAGTACAAAGAATGTCAAGCAGTGAGCAAGTGAGGAAACGTGGACACAAGGCCTAAAGAAGTACAGTGCCGCTGATGATCACTAGGCGGGAGCGCCTTGGTGAAGATATCAGCAGTGTTGGCCTTCGAGTCCACGTACACAAGCCGAAGCTGACCGCGCTGCTGAAGCTCTCGAGCAAGAAAGTAGCGAAGAGCAATGTGCTTCGTCCTGTGCTCCAGTCTGTGCTCCTGACACAAGGCAAGAGCCGCCTTGTTGTCACCGTACAGAACTGGAGGAGAACTAGGCCGCTCTCCCAAGTCAGTCAGCAGGTAGGTGAGCCAGCGTAACTCCTGGGCAGCCATGGCTGTGGCGTAGATCTCAGCCTCACAACTAGAGCCGAGAACAGAAGAAGAGCGGGTGGACCGCCACGA